GAGGGAGAGGGAGAGGGAGAGGGAGAGGGAGAGAGAGAGGGAGAGAGAGAAAGAGAGGACAGCAATACAGAGAGAGCGAGAGAGAGAGAGAGAGAGAGAGAAAGAGAGAGAGAGAAAGATACACAGATACAGACAGACAGACAGACAGAGAGAGATAGGGATACAGAGATACAAAGAGAAGAGATGAAGGCTGCTCACACTCACCTGGGTGGATGAGAATCCACCGAACGAGTTCTGCTGCTTGATGAGCCACTTCGTGATGGGCAGTCCACTGTTGAGGTCCCTCAGCCTGACGTAGGCGAGCAGTGCATAGGCTGTCATCACCACGTCCAGCGACGCTCCCCCGCCTCAGCCCCCACCGCCGCTGCCGCCGTGGCGCGACGACGATGCAGGGTCGCTCAGCACTCCTTCGTCCAGTACTTCATGCTTCCTGTGCACGTGTTAACCAGGTGGTTCATTACAGAAGATGAGGAAGTGAAGGAGAGAGGAAGGGATGACGAGAGGGAATTAAGGAAGAAATAGGGGAGAGAGCGAGCGATTGAGAGAGAGATAGAGAGAGAGAGAGAGTGAGAGTGATATATATATATAGAGAGAGAGAGCGCGCATGAGAGTGTGAGAGAGAGACAGACAGGATCAGCAGTCATTGCAAAAACAAAAGAGCAGCGTCTATGCGTACCTTTCTCGATGGCGAGGGCCTCCAGCTTGGAGAGTGCCTGCAGGTGTACATCGACGCGTTTTTGATGACGGCGAGCGAGTACGGGTCATCTGCGATGACGTCCAGCTGTGACACTTTGATGACGAGAGCGTAGGTGGTGACGGGGAGCGAGTATTACACACATGCATGCTTAATGATAAACACTTGACAGCCACACCGTACCAGGAATTCTACCGCACCGTGAACCGGCTGCCGCTAGCGGCAGAGGCCAAGCGAGATCGGCAAGGCGCGGGACCGACCTGGACAATCGATTTCCAGGGCGACTTTTGCTTTTGGGGTCGCCCCCGATATCATGTTTTCGGGGGCTCTTTTTGGCATTTCGGGGGCGAAATCGCCCGCCGCCCCCGTGTATTTTTTCCCCTGGAGTTAACACATCTGCATTGCCGGTTGCCAGGCAATAATTATGATTAGAATAGTGCCAGTTCACACCCATGCATGCGTAGTGGGCTGCCCCATGTTTTGCCTACCCATGCGAGCATTCAGGGTTCATTACAGTGTGCTAATACAAGGTGCTACTCAGGGTGCTAATACAGACTGCTTTAGAAAATAATATGATTTAAGGAGCGTAAACCTTCTTCAACAAACATTTGGCTTTGCAATTGAACTGTGCAACTGTAGCCTCACATCCACAATAGCAAAAGCAGTTCAGTCCTTTGTTAAGAGTCAACAAATCCATGTTTAACCCTCCTCTTGGGGGTCAAAGGGTTATCCGACACTTACTCTTTGCATGTCAGCGAAAAGTACATTTTATGGTCCTTTCAATAAAGCCATAAAAATGGTAGGTCACCGCAGAAACAAAAAAGTTTCTCAATCGCTCCGTCAGACCATGTCCTCAGAAAATGTCTAAAATCTGCCCTGTGCCCCATTGACCTTCGACCTCCAATTTCGGCACAGTGATGGCTTTTCATGATGCTATACATGACTATCACGAGCCTAGGTCGAGCCGTTTATATTTGTGCCGCAATTCTGCATTTCCTCCCTATACCTAAGTTAAGAAGGGAATGTTCCCCCTTCTTTTACACCTCTTGACCTTTGACCTTTGACCCTCAGCTTCGACATCCCAACTCGTTTTCGGATTACCCCCCCACGTCCCGACTTTCGAATCCGTACGTCGAGCCGTTTAGATTCATGCCCAACTGTTGACGGACGTACGGACGCACGGCCGGACGCACGGACGCACGCTCATGCGATTCTACAAGCTGCATCTGACTATGTCAGATGAGCTAACAAACCCATCCTCATCCAGCAAAGAAATCACACTCGTCATTTACCTTATTAAGTTATCATTACCATTAATTAACTTTATTAATCATTAATTATTCATCGATTAAACAATAATCATTTAATTCCAGCAGATTCCCTGTGTCCCAAGCCACCACTATAGCTAACCTCTGCCATCTGGTAGACGAGCACGTCATTACAGTCGACCTCGAATGACCTCGTGACATCATCGGCGATGGCGAAGATGACGTGATCCCGCCTAGCGGCAGAGAAGGCGAGGGAGGCAAACTGTGCGAGAGCCTGATGACAGTGTCCTGTAAACATCGAGAGAGAACCGTGGGCGGTTACCAAGTGTTATACGTGCACGATGAGTGAGGAAGAGGGAGAGAGATAGAGAGAAATATAGAAAGAACCGTGGGGGGTTACCACGTGTTATACGCGCACGATGAGTGAGGGAGAGGGAGAGAGAGAAGGGGGAAGGGGAAGAGATAAAGAGAAATATAGAGAGAACCGTGGGGGGTTACCACGTGTTATACGTGCACGATGAGTGAGGAAGAGGAAGAGAGAGAGGGGAACGGGGAGAGATAGAGAGAACCGTGGGGGGTTACCACGTGTTATACGTGCACGATGAGTGAGGAAGAGGAAGAGAGAGAGGGGAACGGGGAGAAATAGAGAGAGTGAGAGAAACGCGGGGGTTACCACGTCTCACATGCGCATAATGAGTGAGAGGGAGAGGGAGGGACGAGAGAGAGAGAGAGAGAGGAGGAAGAGGGAGAGGGAGAGGGAGAGGGA